CTTCGGCGTATGGAAGACTCCACGACACCCCGGGAATCGGTGGTGGGCCTCAAAACCAGGTGGTTTGAAGGCCCCTATGGGGAGCCTCTGGGTTGCTGAGTTCATGGGTTCTTTGGGATCTTTTGTTTTGGCTTGGCTTGGGCCAAGTTTTGGTGGCAAACAAGCAGTGCAGGGACTGTTTTTTGCTCAGGAAGTGAGCCTTTTGAGGCCCCCCAAAAATCCCTTCCGGATGGAGATGTCCAATCACCAGCCAGTGTTGCATTTCTGGTAAGGGTCTATTTTGGGTCCTTCGGTCTCCACCTCAGTCGGCTTTCTTGGATGCAACAAAACCGGAAAAAATCCAGCCACTCTTTGAACAGACTGGTTGGGAGGCTGGGGGACGTTGAATGCTCAGATTGCACCGCAAGGGTAACCTCATAAGTTATCCTAAGTTGCCGATTTCTCGGATTTGTAGTCAGATGTGTTTTCTTTTGAGAGGGGGCTCTTCTTTGTTTTCCGGTTTTACAGGGAAACCCAAGGGAACACCCAACGTTTTGCTTTGGCTATTTGGCAACGGATCTTTGGACTTTAACTTTTGGTTGAAACAGTACGTTTTCCATTTTGCAGAGGGTCGTTGCAGCAACCAAGTTTGAGGGTGCCCCTGTTCTCAGTTGTTCAAAGCGATTCCACTGGATAGCCAAGTTGCCGTTTTTTTTCGGTCGCTGTGCTGTTTTTTGGGGTAAAGCAGATGGAAAAAGCGGCAACTGGCGATCCAGGCAGGTCCCAGAGGCAGGCCAACGGAGGGTTTGGACACGTTCACAGGACGAGTCCGCAGAGAGCGGGGAGGAGTCCTGTGACCGCTTGGAGTGGCTGACGGAGGCGCCAGCGAGAGCAACCCGTCGCTTCGTTTGCATCGAAGCGGTGCTCCGTGTCACGCTTTGTGGACCAGAGGGGATCGGTTTAAATGGCCAGGTCCCCCAGCTAGGTGCCCTTAGTCTCAACTGCTCAAATCTGGAGGACCTAGATGGAAACCAGCCATAAACTGCCGCTTTTGAAGGGGAAGCCCAGTGATCCCTTTCCGATTTTTCTTTGACCCTGCCAGAAACCTACCATGGGCAAGAGGTTCGCTTCCTTGAACCCCGAGCTGAGCTGAGGCTTTGCCATCGATTGTTCCACATGAACAAACCAGCCAAGTACCCGGCCAGGGACACAGTCCAAAGCTCACTTTTTGAGTTCATGTGCTTCGAGCTGTTTGGGTTTGGACATTCGTGGCAAACAACAAGCTTCAGGGTTGCGGGAAAGGGAACCCACTGCTGCAATACAACAAAAAGGGCTTTGTTATAAAGACAAAACCCATATAAAGGGGGAGATTCCCGAAGGTAGCACAGAAGTGGGAATAAACCCTTTGATCCCACAACCCTCACAAGCTTTGACTTTTGTTGGCCAGTCCACACCGGACGTGAGACAACGTGTTACTTGCAAGTCGCCACCATATGGGTAGTTTCTGTGGGTGCAAGTATCCTTCCCTGGCCGCCGTGCCCTATTGCAGGCTTTGCCTTGCATCTGATAAGAACATGGGAGGGGAGGTCCCCAGAGTGTATGGCTGGGACAATGAGATAGGTCCAGCTAGATGTCGTGTCCTCATATCCTTTGCTTATGCCTTGGTCCTCCGCTTATGCCATGTCGTGTCCTCATATCTAACAATTTGTCTGCAGCCTTGCCCTCATGCATACAGTCGGCATCCTTTCACGCTCAGAGAAATGTAAGGAGGGTGGATAACATCTGCGGCAGAGGGGTTCAGGGAAGAGCAGTCAACCTTATGGTCTAGGGGACGAACCACTGGTTGCTGAGCAGGTGCCCTGGTATCTTGCATGGAAATATGGCTACATACCGTGACTGTACCAATTTCTATGCTTTTTTGGAGGGTGCCCAGTTGTTTATGGCTTTAAGGGAAAACCAAAAGGACACCCACCAATAGGGAGGTCCCTTAAAACAAGTCACATCCATATACACACGTAGATAGTATATGAGCGTTTGGCATTTTCAAGGGACACCTCAGGGTGGATCAACAGAAGGGTGTTGCTGATGAATTCTGGGTGCAAGCTGCTTTTCTACGGGTATTTAAGCCCTTTGACCAAAAAAACGAGGCAGTCGTTGAAGGCTGGCCGCAAGCTAAGAGAATATGTCAGGGGTGCACGGTTGGGACCGATCTCGATCTCCCATCTCGCAGGTGTTCCCGCCCATTACGAGCCTTTCCTTCGAGAGGTCCGTGGATATAGGATCCGAATCCAATCCGAGCATGCAGGCTGAATGACGTCCATGGACTCCTGGTATGAACCCCTGGGTTCATTGACTGTTAGTCATGGCAAAAAATACTTCGCTTCGAGCAATCCCCACCCTCCACACTCACAAGCTTACGACCGTTACAACACATTATTCCGCATCCTGGAGACTTCGACTCCAAATTCAATTCGGCCCTTTTGGACAGTAAGCAAAACCATACTGGCGAGCTGCTCTGGCGGGATATTGGCGGGATCCACTGGCGAATACTGGCGAGCCACGGATACTCGGCAGGATCCACCGGCAAGGGATCAGCGGGATACTTGGCGGGATCCACTGGCAGGCTGCTCTGGTGGGATGCTGGCGAGCTACTCTGGCGGGATCCACTGGTGAGCTAGTGGATACTCGGCGGGATCCATTGGCGAGCCGCTCTGGCGGGATACTCGGCGGGATCACTGGCAAGCCGCTCTGGCGGGATACTCGGCGGGATCACCTGACGAGCAGCTCTGGCGGGATACTGGGCGGGATCCACTAGCCAGCTGCTCTGGCACGATACTCGGCGGGATCCACTGGCGAGCCGCTACTGGCAAGCTCTGGCGGGATACTCGGCGGGATCCACTGGCGAGCCGCTCTGGCGGGATACTGGGCGGGATCCACTGGCGAGCCGCTCTGGCGGGATACTGGGCGGGATCCACTGGTGAGCAGCTCTGGCGGGATACTCGGCGGGATCCACTGGCGAACTGCTCTGGCGGGATACTGGGTGGGGGCGTGGTGTAGAAGCATCGCAAACGCGGATTCCAACATAAAATCTAACAACCCCTTCCTGTCGGGTGGGGAAAAAATGGAAATTAGCCCCCAATGGCCATGGGTTCATACATGGACACGTGCATTCAGCCTAGCGTTGGAATCGGCGGATCTGAATCGAGGTCTTCGGCTTTCCCTCGTCGGGTGGCTTAAGTATACCCACCGGGCCCCTCAAACTTGGAATCGGGAGAGGATTTCAACCCCTGGAGATCTCCCTTTTAATGTTGCCCCCATAGTAATCAACCCCAGTTAACATGAATAGGGGGGTGTCCCTGCGTTTAGTGGGGAATCATCACTTTTGGAGGGGAACGCCCCCCCATTAATAAACTGGAGTTGATTAGTATGGAGTCAACATTCTGGCAACCCATTCTCCCTTGTGGGGAGATTAAGGAAATGGAATTGGGCAACCCCCTCCCCCAGCGGTAGGGGGGATGCTCAAACATCCGCCTGTGAGGCCGATGTGGGTTAAGTTCACCATTTTACTTCTTTCTTTCCGAGGGGTCTCCAATTAAAGGACCCAAGCAAAACCAGTGCCAAGTCTTGGTTGCCGATGGCCACTGGGGTCTGATTTGGGTTAGAGGGCACATGCAAGAGACCTTGTTTGAGATCTGACCTGTTGGTTTCGAACCTTTATAAAAGCTCACCTGCCCTTTTTGAGAAACTCAGTTTTCAAAGACGACCTTTTGACCTTTTGGTTTTCCCATTTTGGGTTCCCATTTTTAGTAGAGGTCCCAAAAAGGTTAACCTTTCATTTCCAGCTCCTTTGGGCAAGTGAGGAAATGGTTTGGCCAAGGCGGATCGACCATTTGAGCTTCTCGTTTCCCTGTTTTGGTCCCTTCTATTTCCATGCCCCTAAGCCTGGGGCAGAGGGAAAAGAGCCCCATTAAAAATGGGACTGCGGGTTTTGCTTCGGCTTATGCCCCCCCCCAACCCCCAAAAAAAGGGGTTCGGGGAGATATAGCATCATTTGCAGGAAGCTGTAGAATACTCAAGCGCAAAATTGAGTCATGAACACGAGAGAAGACGTGTGTAGAGTGTCGCGTGATTAATTGCTTTGCTCATTGTTCTGGGGGCGTTCCATCTTCGGGCGGCCGGTTCTTCGCAGGACTGCGAGATGAGTCGGACTCTGCCATGACCAAGGTGCAAGATGCTTGTGTTTTGGACCCAGGTTCGGGTTGCTTTCCGGCTGTCCGGTCCCCCCAATGGGAAGCCACGATGGGGGCTGAATACCGCATGCTTATGCTTTGTCCTTCGAAGGACGCCAAAAGAGAATGGTGCTGTTTGTGACCCCCTAGACACCACAGGAATCATTTCAGGGAACCCTTAGTTGGGGGCTTGGGGGTTCTCGAAACCACCGGGCTCCAAACCACGCAAATCCCCAATGGTTCCATTCACCGATATAGTAGGTAGCCAGTTCAAGAACCCCACGCGCTAAAACCAAAACGTAGAATTGTTGGCGACCTAATTTAATTGCTCAGTTGCTCAAAGCGAATCGACCGTTTCACCTTTTGGTTCTCTTGCTTTACAGCCATATTTAGTTTTTGGGTTGCGAAAGGTTGGTTGTCTTACCATATTAGCGAAAGGTTGGCCGCCATATTTTGGTGGTTGGGTTACAGGCGGTCACCGTATCCATCTCCAGGTAGCGGTGAGGTCCGCACGAGCCTGGGATCCCGCGCCGGCAAATCCCGCAGCTTTGGGGCCGAGTGTAGTTGTACAGCTCGGGGGGATCCGATCTGACAGGCCGGGATTTCTGAGCTCGTGTCGCCCTGTGTGTGTGTGTGTGTGTTTGTTTTTTTGTTGGCATGTTGTTGACATATAGATAGAAATCCGAATTTAAACACATCCACCTTGTGTTGGGAAAACCCCTCCAACTCTGAGTTCGGCCCAGTCTGAGTTTGAGTTGGGTCCTGGGTGCCGAGGCGGGGAGGCGGGGCACCATGCGGTGCCCCAAGACGGTTTTGCTGCTGCTGCCACTGGCGCTGGCGGATCCTTCGCCCCTGCCGGGGCACTCCATGTCCAGCCCGCCGGAGATCAACCACCTGGCCTTTCGGAGCTGCAAAAGACTGATTCAAGAATCGTCCCCGGGTCGGCTGGAGCTGCCCCCCCCCCAAAAAAAAAAATGCGGGGTAGAAGCAAAGCCCTGCCTGTTGCTGGTGTGTAGCTCCAGGTTTAGTCACTTTTTCTGAACCCTCCCCCCCCCCCCCGCCATTTTAGTGGCTTAGACAAAAAAGTTCAGCTAGGATTTCTGGCCAATCCGCTCAGGAAGTGACCCCCCCTTTGGCAGAAAGCAGGGAATCCTACATTTCCATCTAAGAGGAAACTCAAGTTCATTTTTGCCTTTTTTTCTCGCGGAATCCACCAGAAGGTTACGCTTTTGGCACGGCACTGGTAACAGTCACAAACAACGTAGCCATGCCGGATCTCTGATTGGATTGAGGCCAAGACTTGGCTCCTTACGGGCACTACCATGCCCAGTCACAATAGCTCCTTGGCCCAAACATGAACACCGAAATGGTTTGTTCGTTAGTCGCTTGCCTTTGTTGCTTGCTTGCTTGCTTGCTTGCTTGCTTGCTTGCTTGGCTGCTTGGCTGGCTGGATGGCTTGCTTGCTTGCTTAGTTTGTTTGTTTGTTGGTTGGTTGGTTGGTTGGTTGGTTGGTTGCTTGGTTTCTTGGTCACTCGGTTGATATTTTGCTTGCTTGCTTGCTCGCTCGCTCCCTCGCTCCCTCGCTCGCTCGCTTGCTGCCTTGTTTTCAAACGCACGCCAGGGTTTTGTTGGTTTCCTTGGCTTCCATGTGGTTGCCCCGGATCTTTCGGTGTGGTTGGAGATCGAAAAAGGGATGGGCGAACCTCACTTCCTAAGGTACTGGAAGTCACTTTTCGGGTTTGAACCGTTGTTGAGCACCCGGCAAGTGACAGTTCAAAGCTCTCTCCCCTGAGTTCCTGCACTTTAAGCTTTTTGGTGTTCGACCATTTTAGTGGCAACCAGAAAGGTTTGTTGCTTTTTCTGGCCAGCCCACTCAATGCGGAACTTGAGCCGGCGAACCCGCGCCCTGTGTTTTTTGGTTGGGCAAGAATTCGTTTGCTGGTGTACTTTCTTGCACGTTCTTGTGACAATCAATGAGATTCGCGGAAGCATCGCTTTGAAGTACTTCCAGAAGGTCGCACTTCGACGCAGGTGTGTATTTGGGTGAGGATCTCCATGCCCCTTAAAATATGAGGCCATTACCCAAATAAAGGGGTCATGACCCCATTTTTTCAGGGTCATGGAGACTCCAGGCAGATATCTCCATGTTTGGCGAGGTTTGATCCTCACCCCCGGGGTCGCGGACCGCGTGGGCACCGCCTTCAGCCGGACGCCCCTGAGGAGAAAACCGTGAAAACGTTGCATGAAAACGAATCGCAGCAATTCGCCCCAGCTCCGACTGAACTTGGCGGTTCCCAGTCCGGTTCCTGAGGCTTGTCGGGTGTAGTGGGGGGGGGAGTGGGGGGCTTTATTTCCCTAAAAGTTTAAAGCCCAGCTGTCCGGTTCTTTTGGTCGTTTAGTGGGGGCTGAGTGGGGGGGGGGTTATTTAACCCTCTAAAAGTTTAAAGCTGTTAGCAAGTGTAAGACAGCCCAGTTTGGTGGGACGTTAGGTAAGACACGCCGTTGTTCTGATCGTACTCCTCCTTTCTGCAGTTTGGGGATCCTTCTTTTACTCACTCCCTGGACGTTAGCCACTTTTGGGGGTTGACCATGGTAAACAAAACGTTTCACTTGTTTCGGGTCATTTAGTCGATAAGTGCGGGATTTGCGAAGTTCTGCCTGGGCCTGTGGAAGATGGAGCTTTAGACAAAGGGAATCCCCTTGAGCCCGTGCCTCTCAGTGGTCTTGAAGAATGGCCCATGGTGTCGCAGAAGGGGTGATCTTGGGTACCGAACCCTGTTCAGGTTGGTTTAAAGGGAAGCCGTGTTTAAGGGGTAATCTGATTGTGGAAGGACGCCTGGGACGTGGGTGTGTGGAGTTTGGGTCAAAATGCAATGTCGACTCAAAATGAAGCAAACTGTGAAGATTGCACCGGGCGCTAAACAGCAATTCTACCAGTCGAAGTGCCAAAAGGGACACGATGGACGATCTGTTCATTTTTCCACCCGGGTCGCAGGGCGATCAACCGGAAACCGACCGGAAGCCCGTCTCGCAGGACGAACGACTTCGAGGTGGAGTTTACCATCTCCGCAAAGCCGGGCACCGCCGTCTTCGAGAACGACGGAGTGGCTTTTTGGTACAGCGAGGACGAACGAACTCATCTCGCGGCCGCAGTTCATAGACAAACGAGTGATACAACTTGGGTGGGTCTTTTTTCGGGTGGTTGGTTTTGAGAGGAAAGTAAAAGGAACACCAACGTATTTTTGGGGGTCCACTAAAAACGGCACACCCACTAATTCCCCGAGTTCTTTTTTTTGTGGGGGGGGGGTAGTTTGATCACCATTTTTTAGTGGCGAAGGTTGGCTGTTTTTTGGGACCCCACTCAGGAAGAGGGTAACCAAGGGCCTGTGATGCATTCAAAGTTACCTCTCCTCGGAACCCAGGAATTGAAATGCACCTCTTGTCAAAAAGGGGGGAACCAAAAACATAGGTTTTTTGCCGGCGTAGTGGGTCCCCCCATGGGAGACGTAGCAATGACCTTGCCATGGCAAGGGTCACCAAAGCGCCAAAAGGGTTTGCAACCAGACCAAGGAGTATGATGATTATTCCTTAGGGTAAACTCATGTAGGAGGGGAGAAGATGATAAAATGCCAACCCCTTCGCAGGAGAACTCCACAGAGATTCTGGTCGCAGCCAGCGCCAAGCACAGCCACAACCAAGATGAGCTGATCGCTGGCACTTGGTACGACCACTACGTGCAGCCCAGCTGCTGAATGGCTCCCTTTTTGCTCAAGGTCGTGGTTGATCACTCCGAGGATTGTCCAACCACTTCCGTGATATCCTCGGGAATCCCCTCATAAACATGGGGCGGTTTGTCTTTGGGAGGCCCTTTTTGTTTGTATCACGGAATTGGTCATTCAACCACAGCCCTGTTTTTGCGTTGAAGCGTTTTTTGGGAGGTGTGTTTCCCCTCAAGTTTCAAGTCACCCGTAGTTGGTGGTTTGGATTGGAAGGTTGGATTTGGATTTGAACCCCTGGTTCTTTGAGAGGGTGAATGGGAAACCATCCCTACCCTCCGAACCACTAATCCACACGTACCAACTAGAGGGAATCGCTGAAAATCCACACGAACAGAAAGCCATGTGTTCTCTTGGTTGGTGTGTTTCCCTTTGTTTTTTTGTCCAAACGACACCTGGTTGGTGTGTCCCCCCTGTTTTTTTTCCCCACGAACCACCGGGAAGAGCTCCTTTGCTGGGAACATCTGAGGCAGCAGGGCTTGGGGCTTTATGGCTTCAAGAGTGCCTTCAAGGGCTTAGGCGTCCCCTGGCAGCAGCCGAGGGTTAGCCGAGGGAGCCTTTGGTTGGTGTCCTGGCCTAGGTTCCCTGCAATTGGTGCCCGTTTTTACCGTTTCTTTTTTGGTTGGGAGGGTTCCCCTACTAAAATAGACTGCAGGAAAGGCTTTTCATACTCCCAGTGGTTCAAAGCCATCCTTTTCAACCTTTTGCTTTTACCTTTTTGGTTCATGCGTTTCGAAGCCGACCTTTGAAACCTTTTGGTTTTCCCTTCTTGGGTTCATTTTTAGTGAATGTCCCCCAAATGGTAAACCTTGTATATCCAGGTCCTTCTGGGCAACTCAAGCCTGTGGATGGTGGCGAAATCCAGTTCCCACCGTTCAGAAGCCTTGGTTTCTGAATCCGTTAGCGTAAACACCAACAAGCATCATGGTTTCAACCATGACCAGTGCAACAAGGGAAACCGAACACTAATTTGCTAGAGGTGTCCGAGCCACTTCTTGGAACCTGCAAAAGTTGCGATCGTTTCAATGGGAACCACCAGCAAAACAAATATATCAATCTCTTTGAAGAGAAATCCAGTGACCCTGTCATAGGATCCTCGCTTGTGGATCAAAATCGATTTCGCAACACCTAAGAAACCCTGGCATTCAATGATTCCCCTGCAAATGCTAGCCAACACTGGTTTCAAGTTTTGTTTTCATCTCGTGGTGCGGTCTCGGAGACCGCAACCGCAGGAAGGCCTTCCCCCTCTCCCCCTTTAACACGCTGCCCCACCTTAGGGCTTGGAGGAAACCCGGGGGAATCGGTTCACAGGCTCGACGCCAGGTCTTACGGGTATAAGATGGCCAGAGTAGCATGACATCGAATCTGAAGCCTGAAAATCGTGGCCGAATGAAGAGGCACGGTTTGTGGGACATTCCATCTGGCTGGGAAAAGGTTGCTTCAGTACCACGCTAATATAATGATTTGCTTTTGCTTGGCCAATCAATGATAAGATGAACCAGGGTTGCCTAAAAGTATCAGGATTCAGTCCTGGAAGGCTTCTTTTTATCGGCCATTTTGGAAGGGCCCATCCCCCAGTTGTGGTTGGCAGAGCAATCCAATTCGCCTTTCATGGGCCAATTCCGCGCGCAATGGGCTCTGACCCATGCGAAGCACGGCTGGTCTGTGTGACCAACTCGTTCACACAAAGCTCAGTTGCCCAAAGCCGACCTTTTGACCTTTTGGTTTTCCTGTTTTGGTCCATTTTTAGTGGAGCTGCCAAAAGGTTAACCTTTTATTTCTGGGTCCTTTGGGCAAGTGAGAAAAGGTCGATTGATCGACCTTTTCCTCCTGGCGAAACTCAACGCGAAGCAAACTTCGATCTTGTGAGGGATGGACAAAGTCCTTCACCACCTAAGTAACCATGAAACACCATGGTCACCATTGTTTGTTGGTATTTACGTTGGGGAATCAACAGGTACCAGGGCTTCTGATCGGTGGTGCGAAATGGATTTCGCAACCATCCACAGTACGAATGCCCAGTTTTGGTCGCCAGCTCTCCTCCTTTCCCCGAACCCTCAATCCACCGGGGTGCGTGCGAGGTGTTCTTCTCTCGGAACGCGGGCGCGGCAACTGTGGGGCTGAAGTTCGGAGACGGGTCCGGAGCTTCCGCCGCTCGACGCCATTGCTCAGTTCTTCAGTGGCACCAATTATTTTTCTTGTTCCACGAAAAATGGTCTTCCCAAAAAAGGTCTCAGAAGCACCTGGAGCCTCCATGACCCTTGAAAAACGGGGTCATGACCCCCACATGTTTTGGGTGATGACCGGGTCATGGAGACACCAGTCAACACAGGTACTGGCTGATCGTTGGGGCATCCCCCGCCTGTTAGAGGGGATTCGAGCCTCGCAAGGCTAAGACAGGCTTTCCCTAGTTACCTACGAAAATGGTGCGCTTTGTTTTTGTTTCAGGGATTGGGATGTACGAACAATACTGGACAAACAGGTGACAACGCGCCGTGAGTTCATGGGCTTCAAAGATCGTCAAGGATCTTCAAAGTGAAACATATAATATTTTTGGAGGAGACCCCAGCTGAAAAAGGACCCGCCCTCCACATCAGCTTCTCCAAAGGACCTGGCAATAGAACGTCAACCATGTGGGGCCATGACTACACCTTCTTACCACAATGGGAAGGTCCATGTTAGTGGCGAACAACAAGTTTGGTTACCCTCCCTCCAGTTGACAGGAGAGCTTTGGAAGACGATTTTCCTTTTGGGGGACCCCTTTGTGCACTTCCATGATTCTTGGAAAGTTTGGTGATTTTTATTGACCAGTCCACTTAAAAAGTGAAGTCTAGCTGCCGAAGCCATTGGGCCCAAGAAAATTCCTGGACGGAATCGCCAGGGATCCATTCCCCGCTTGGATGGCGGGTTTTGGTGGATCCACCCCTGCGGGAAATACTAAAAGGGTACTAAAAGAGTACTAGAAAAGAAGCTAAAGGGGGAAGAACAGGTGAAATCCACAAAAGGCGCATCCAAGCCGTTTTCTAGAATTGAGGTATCAAGATACGTCAAGCTTTGGTGATCTGATCATTGCCATTCACTTGCAAATACCGCCATACAATAGTTTCAACCTTTTTTCAAAGTGGTGCGAAATGGATTTCGTCCATCCACAGTACCAAGGGGATCCCCGTTTGATGTTGTTCAGCAATCCTGGGAATCAACCACTTTGGTATCATGGAAGGGTGCTACTTGGATGTTCAACCAGCGTCAGGTAAGTAGGTTATCGCCAAGGTTATAGCTGGGGCAATTGGAGTTATTGCCCGGAACTTTTCCGGGAAATGCGTGACATGCCCAGGGTTTTCGTACCGGATCTCCCGTGGCTGGGTTTTTTATGGATACTCTCTCCCTGCGTTCATGGACTTGGTTTTTTGTGAATACCATTTTAGCGGCCAACAAAAAGTTTGGCTGCTTTTCTTGTGAGAGTCCACTCGACCTGTGAGGATGCGAAGTTGCTTTCTAGGGGTTCCTTCCATTTCCATTCTGTCAAGGATCCTTCTTTTCAGGAAACCATCAAAAACCCAGGTTGGAACCAGCCGGTTCTTGCAAAGAATGGTGCAAAACAAGAGTGGAAAAGGAATCATCCCCTAGATCTTTCTTAAACTGGGGCCATGATTTTGACTCCTTTTGTAGTTATCAAAGTCAGGTCCTTGGGGTGGTTTCCCTTAAACCACTCAGCGAATCACCCCCTAGAAGCTCGCACGATGTCGCTCCCATCGAAACCTCAGGAAGGCCCAGAGCAGCAGCTCGAGATCCGGGACGGGAAAGATCACTCGGCGGGATCCGGGTCACGCGTCGAGTGGAGGTTTGTCGTTGTTGTTAGTCGGTTTTTCTTCTTGTTTGTTTTTTTTCCTGTTTTTTCCTGGTTCTGGAGGTTTGTCGTTGTTCGTCGGTTTAGGGGTTAGGCTTCCATTTAACCCACGAAGACTTAAACTTTGAGCAGGGAAGCAGTTTGGACAGCCCAGTAAATGTGATGGCTTCCGAAGCTACGCGCAGTACGTCCATTTTACAGCCTGAATCCAACAGGGATCCGTATATATGGTTCCCTTTGGGCAATCGGAATGTAACCTTTTGCTAAAACCGGGTTATCCCCAGAAAGTGTTGCGTTTTCCTACCAGGCTCACTGAGCGACCCCGCAACGACCAACTTCACTTTGTTGCGAAAAGGGCCATGTGACAAGTGTGGTTGTAGGCCAATGTTCTTTATACGGAGGGGTAGATTTGGACGTTGAACAAGAAACACTCTCTTGATTGTGGTTGTGGGATGTTTGGGGAACTAGGTTAAGTCCACTTTCTGTGATACCAACGGAAGCCCTACGAGAGACAGCAGCCATGGGAATGACCTACTTCGGTATCAAATAAAGGGTGTTTTCCCCAACCATGCCCAGATTCCATATGTTTACCTCCCGACTTAGCGTTTTCTTTTTTGGGAGAATCATTTTAGTGGTCAGCAAATAATCCGGACTATCAATCTACTCTTTGGGCGGGCTCTTCAACCTTTCGTTGTTGTCTTTTCCTGGCGAACGGCATGTGAGTGGCATGGCGACATGGGCATTTTCAGTGCTTGTTGTGTCCCACCTGCCTGTCCAAAGACATCAATGCAAATGTCATTTAATTTTCGCACCCCAAAAAACGGCTCCATCAAGCCAAGCTAGAAAAATGAGATGCGTTCCCAGCGTCTTGGCATGGGAAACGGCCTTGCCTTTGGAAAGTCGGGGAAACGGGCTGACAGGGTCTTGGGGTCGAGAACTTTGTCGCCAGCTTCCTGAGGTGGAAGGGGCACCAGAGTGAAGGTGAACCCAACATGTAGAAACCACACCATTTTTGTTTACATATTTATTTGTTTTGGTGATGAAACCCAAAATGTACAAACCACATCAGATGTGTACGAACCTCCATACATGTTTTGTTTGGTGTTGTCATGACTATGTTAAAGTGCCCCTACCAGATTCTAAATCGTGAGGCCCTAGCCTTGCATCTTCCTACGGAAGCTTCCAGGCTGATGAACATTAGAGGAGCCGCCCAAATGGAAGTGCAAGTCCAAACCAACCTGAACATAGTTGGCTGTCCTTTTTTGGAGGTTACCCCTATGTTACTTGCTTTTAAGGAGAAACCGCAAGGAAAACCAGCAACGCAACTTCAAGCCTTTCTGCGTGTCCATAGCAGGTGAAGCTCCGGGTGCAGCCGGAGGCTGCCACCCTGCAAGTGGACGCGGTGACGCTGACCTTGGCGAAGCCTCTTGGCGCGGAAATTCGACCTGGGATGGTCGGAGGTGTGGGGGGGGGGGAAGCCCCCGTCTCCAGCGTCGTAAGCCGAGCAAAAAGTAAGATCATTACCCAAAATAGTTAAAGGGGTCATGACCCCATTTTTCAATCATGGAGACTCCAGGTAGGTACAAGGGGTTAGGGTAGAGAGGTTGTGGGTTCCTTCGGGTTCCGTAAGGAACCTCCCGCCGGGTTTTGCAATTTGGGTGCCCCAGAAAAACACGATTTCGGTTTTCCGGCTGGTTTTCCTTCTAAAGCCAACCACAAAGGTACCTTCGAAGAAGGGCACACCTCTTGGGTTACAGCTTCCCCTCGAAAGGGTTCGAAGCCCGGCGCGCCGGTGGCTGGGAGGTCGAATGGCTTTCAAATTACCCAGTTGGACCCCCTAAAGATGGTCAATGGGACCCTCCAACCTCCAGATCTTCGATTGGAGTGTTCGCCTTTGACATGTTTAGGAACATGTGCGCACTAACCAACATGCAGTTCGATTCTTTGCAGTGAGGCATTTGGTTTGGCCGTTTGGATTTGTTGGTTTAGTCGCTTTTTGTGCAGTTTACTTTGAAAACACAGGCAACCCTTAATTTGGGGTTTGGGGATTTGAACCCCTGGTTCTGGTAAAGCAAAAGAAGAGCCACCCCCCAAACCACCAAACCACCAATTAGAGGGAAGCTGAACAAATGCTAGAGGTTCCACTGGCCAGAAGGAGCTGGTTGTTGTGAGATGGAAAGCAACAGCCTCAGAGTGGAAGTCAATGCTCACTTCCGTGACCCTGGCTGTTAAAAATGGGCCCCCCAAAACAACCAAAATGGGTCAAGCGTCCGGTTCCTTAGGTTTTTAGGTTTTAAGGGTTTGGCGGTTGGGATTACACTGAACCCACCAAAAGTGAAACTTGAGCAGGGATCTGAACCCACTCGAGGGGTCCTGGTGCCAACAAAAGGTACCTTTTGCCCTATCCACTTGAGACCTCGCTTGCTTGAGATGTGGGTGTTGAGGTTCCGGAAAACCGGATGGCAGTAGAAACCACCAGAAACCCAGGCTTCGAGCCCACATGCTACGAAAAGCCCATGGGTTCGATGTGTATCTGGCCTTTTAGTTTTCCCTTGGTCATTTTTTGAGTAGCGGTTTTCTCCTTGGCTTTCCTCACCACTCTCTGAAACTAGATGCATACAAGAGCAGATTCGCTGGGACGAAGGCGACCAGCTTTTCTTTTCCAGCTCCTGGAAGGGCAAGTGAGCTTTCGAATCTAGCGTTGTTTAAGTCATTGACGCTTCTTGGGGGTATTCGGCAAACGGGTCTGTCACTCTCTCTTTTTTGGTCACTCCAATTTGCTGAAGAGCGTATGTTACTTTCCGTTGCTGGTTTTAGAGGGAATCTATCACTACTGGAGATATAAATTCCAGGGAGCAAGAAAGCAAATGGAAGGTGGCGTAGATTCACACCAAACGGACACCCACCATCCTTTGGGGATCCACCAACAAGGAGATACCCATATGTATCATATGTGGGTGGGTGTTAAATACAACCATTGGCTTTCCAACCAGGCTTTCCAACCGAGACATGCCATTAGTTTGGCTTTCAATAAATGAGGGTACCCCCCAATGGGAGGTTTTCCATTTCAATCCACACAAGGGCTACCCCCTGTTAAACAACCGTTGTCGTTCATAGCAGCCTTTCGGTTTTGGTCGCTCATTTCGGCCAGCGGGTCTGTCTTTTTGAGTGCAAGTGTGTTTTTGGTTTGCTGGTTGTTAACTCTACTGCTATTGTCTTTAGACTTTAACTTTTCGGATTCCCCTCATATTTCCTTTTAACCAGCAAAAAGCTAAACTTGCTGGGGGATCCCGCCAGCACCCAAGTCAAAAGGAAACAGCGAGGATTGGTACCACCCAAATGGATTGGTTTCGTCGAGGCCCGCGAAGGCCGGGGGCTTTATGGGCTTCAGCTGCTACGGGGGCTCCAAGGCGAGCTACAACCCCAAGGACACGTCAACCGCGGTCTCAAGACAACAAGCCGCAGTGGTGCACATTGCTTCGTTTGCTTCTTTATGTGTTTTTGGTTTTTTGTGTTTGATGTTTCGTTTGGTTGGATTGTTTGTTTGTTTGTTTGTTTGTTTCTTTGTTTGTTTGTTTGGTTGGTTGGTTGGTTGGTTGGTTGGTTGGTTGGTTGTTTGGTTGGTTGTGTGTTTGCTTTGTTTGTTTGCTTGCTTGTTTCGTTGTTTTTGTGTGTTTGTGGTTGTTTGTTTGTTTGTTTGTTTGTTTCTTTGTTTGTTTGTTTGTTTCTTTCTTTGTTTGTTTGTCTGTTTGTTTGTTTGTTTGTTTGTTTGCTGCTTTGTTTGGTTGGTTGGTTGGTTGCTCTCTTTGCTTGGCTTGCTTGGCTTTGGCTTGGCTTTGGCTCGGCTTGGCTTGGCTTGGCTTGGCTTGGCTTGCTTGCTTGCTTGCTTGCTTGCTTGCTTGCTTCTTTGTGATTTTTCTGGTTTGGTTCTTCCTTTTCTTTCTTTCTTTCTTTCTTTCTCTGCTTCTTTGCTTCTGAAGGGCTCAAAGCCTCTCGTGATTCTCTGCCGAAGCCAAGCATCTCCGAAGCCAGCGCCGCTTTGGAAATCCAACGAGAGCTGGTCTCGAGGGCCCTGTGCGCCGGACCCGGGACCAAGAGGTCTGACTTGACTGCTGGGCAACGGATCTTTAGACCTTTTAACTTTTGGGTTGAATTAAAGGTGTTCTCACCACTAAATCCCCAAAAGTTAATCTCACTTTTTGCAGGGGAGTCGGGGGCAGCCAAGCTGAAATGGGGGTTGATCAAAAGGTATTTTGGAGCCGGTACACGTTGCCCGGGCACACGTTTTGCTGCCTGTTCGTACAATACTGCGACGTTTCTGGTTTGTGGGTGGAGTGGCTCGCCTGCCATAACATCTCAGAGCCGACCAGCAGTTACAGCAGTTTTAGGTGTTTGGTGGTTGGCGTTTGGCATTATGATCTGTCAGCGCGCGGTTTCCGAGCCATTTCCATGTTAGGAACCTCCAAAAGTGGCATTTTAAACCGGAGGAAGCCGAACCAGGGTTCAACCCAAGTTGAACTTTGAGCGCAGAAACATGATTCCGAGCAGACATGCACGCATAGCACTGAATTGCAACTTTGAAGGTTTCGAAGGGGGTTTCCTGGTATCAAGCAAACTTCCCCCCAACTGAATACACTGATTAAGGGCATTAGAAACGGGACCCTGTGATTGTTAGAGCGCAGGGCGTTTTTAGGAAAAACAACAGGTTTTTGTTTTCCTTGTTTTTCCTTCTTCTTTTTTTCCGGGAGATCTTGGGCCGTGGATGGTCGGGCCCATCTTCCGGGGGCCCTTGACAGTCCCAAAGAAAAGGGGGCTCCTGTTAATCAACTTGTCCGCCCAAAACGGACTTCCAATCGCAGGAGTGTGTCGTTTTTTGGAGGGTATCCGAAATTTTGATAGGTTTAAATGGAAACCAACAGGAAAGCCGCAATTTGGGGGTCGTCTTCTCAAAAAAGACGCACCTGTATTGCATTTCTTCCTATCTTCCTGAGTGGACGAACAAGTGAACCAACTAATATTTGCCGCTAAAATGGTCGTCTTCACAAAATGTGTTTGGAACTCACCTGCCAAAGGACCTGAAAATCAAACTGTCAGGTCGATTCGCCCCTTGGTCTCCCGAACCGGCAGGAGCGGAGCGCCTTCGTGGAGATCAAAGGTGTCAAGGCCGCGGCTCCTTCCTTTTCGGGGGGTCGCAGAATGCCATTCCCTGCCCTGCTTTTATGTGTTTTTCCTTCCGTTGTTTCTTTTTTTTTTGGGGGGGGGGTTGGGGAATGCCAATCCTTTTTTTTGTGTCTGTGTGTGTGTGTTTGTGTGCTTTTCCTCAGGTCAAAACGGGTTTGGATGCGTTTTGCAAGTAGAAGGTATCCCTGTAAGGGAAGCTCAGTTGCCCAATCTTCATTGACCTGATCTGGCTTTTGATTCTTCAGCGTTGGTCCATATTACGTAGTCAAGGCCCCAACAGGTTAAACTGTCATTTTCGGTTCCTTTGGGCAGGTGAGGAAGCAAAGAGCAAACCACAAGGTGTTTTTTTTTTTTTTTGGGGGGGGGGGGCGATTTTACAACACAGCCCACGTGAATTCTGGGCTTCTTACTTGATGCCCCTGCGCTTTATGTGCTCCCCAGGTCATGAACTACGCGTCGGGGCCCGGCGAGGACACGTTGCCCTCAGCTGCTGAGCCGGAAGCGTCCAAGGAAAAGGAGGACGTCCTCGGAGCGCGTCTCAGCAGGAAGCTTTTTGCTCTACTGCTATTGGGTTGGGTCTTTAGACTTTAGCTTTTTGGATTCCCCTCATATTTCGTCTTAACCAGCACACAGTTAATCTTTTTGCTGGGGGATCTACAGCACCCAAGTTTGGAGGGTCCAACTGGGACATGGGCTGATCTCAAAATGGCTTACACACCATTTTTGTTGGAATCTGAAGTGGTCCAGAAGTATCCAGCCCTGTTTGGGGTTCCCCCAATTTTGCGAAACCTCCATCATATGACAACCGCAAATGGGCGTTGATTTCCCTTTTCTTGCTCAGGTTTGTCCCCAAGAGATTCAAGAAGCTGACAAACCAATTTGGAAGCTGATTTTCAGCCAGGTTCCTTGGATTCAACCTCGTACAGCCCTACTTGTTGAGCTGTTCATAGCTACTTTTAGCCCTCTACTGCTATTGGGTTGGATCTTTAGACTTCAACTTTTTGGATTCCCCTCATATTTCCTTTTAACCAGCAAAAAGTTAAACTTTTTGCTGGGGGATCTACAGCACCCAAGGAGAAGGGATTTGAGGTGAGCCGAAGGAGAGAATCGAGATCTCAACATTTTGGCGAAGGTTTGTCTAATCTGGCTGCTGCGATAGGCTGACGCCAATAAACAATCCTTTGTGGTTTCCTTTAAGGGAATCCTTGGTTCATTCCCAACACCCGGAAGATCATTCCCTACTGAGCACCAGCAAGTCATTTCACTCATTGCTTTCCATCCAGGTCCCTGCAAGTGAGCACATGGTTCAAAAGGTTGCCCTTTTGCCATTCAAAGCAATCGTAAACAAAACGAGTATTCACCCTTAAACAGAGAATGCCAAGGCATTTTGGCAGAGAGCAATTCAACACTTTTGTTGGGTTGGGATCTTGGGACCCCCCACCCTTTTGTTCTTCGGGTTTTGGTAAGGTCTGACTGTAATTCGGTCATTGGAGGTGGGAGACCCCCCCATACATGGTGATGTTCCTTTAGTGTTATGAAAACGTTTCTAGCAGCTTCTGGGGGCTCTGACAAAAAAAAACACGGCAAGAACAGAAAAAAACACACACCAGGAAACACGCAAACACACAAACACCAGGAAACAACCTGCTTGAAACACACAAACAGCACAAAATCCTTTGACTGGGTACCCACGCGCACATGGCTTCAGGTTAAAGTTGTTTGTAGTCATAAGCATGAGCAAGTCCCACTTTGATATCACAGAATGGACTATGTTTTGCCATGTGTGTGTATTTTGACGGTACGGCAGGCTGAAAGGGAAGCCAAAAGGACCACAGGACTATTTACTGGGGATGACGCTCACTGGATGAGACTACTGGGGGTCATGATTCGGATGAGGGCTACTTTACAATCATGACCAAGTCTTGGGCCGGTAGGGCTGGGGCCACTATTTCCCCGGTTTCTGGCAGTTATCAAAGTCAGACAATGGGGTTGTGTCCCTTTAACCCACCACTTAGGGGGTGACTTTGATTAGTGAGGCCAGTAGGGCTGGGGGGGGGGGGCAAACGGTGGCAATGTCTCGCAACCTCCACCCCCATGAAACTTGCCCAGATCCGGGGTCGCCTGAGCCACAATAACCCAGGCAAGTGGAGGCTCAGGGACAATCCCAGCCATGGTTGCTGACATCCGCCTTTGCATTTCATGAAGCACTCTGGGCTTGGACCATTTTAATGAGAAGGGTGTTGCTTATGACTCATTTGGGTGTGAAGCTTGGTGTGAATCCCCGAAATTTTGCCCCGTGAAGCGGATGATAGCGGATGGGTTTTTCACCGGATGGGTTGGGTTCTCTTCGGATCGAGGCACTCGAGCTTCAAGGACCACAGGGAAGAATCCGAGGCCTGGATCTCGAGTCGTTTTCGATCCCTTCTTGGGGATGGAGCCGGTTATTTCCTTCACTGTTATCCGCATTTTACTATTTTTTCCGTTTTCTGTTTGTTTTATTCTATGGATGTTTAGATCCCTTTTCGGGGGGGATCTCGAGTCTTCGAATGGAGCCGCTTTTTGTTTTTCTCTGGGGTCACGATTTTGACTGTTTCCGGGGGTCAGAGAATGTGGTTGTTTCCCTTTAGCCCACTTAGGGGGTGACTTTGATCATGGTGAAAGAATTAGGCCGGTTGATTTTTGTGGGATTCCATTTTTCTTCCTTGTTGTTGTTTGCTTTCGGGGTTCCATTTATTGTCAGAGACAGCCCCTAACTGAAGGCTTACCTATCGCTTCCCAAGTTCCTCCCAGACGCTCCCGCGGCTTCCAATGGAAGACCCAGACCCTTCATTGGACACCCCAGAGGGCTTTTGGGGTCTCAACACCTGGCTGTTTTAGAGCCCAAAAAATAATTCGGGAGCGTCAGGGTCCGCGTTGTCCAAAGCCGAGCTTTTGACCTTTTGGTTTTCCTCCACTTGTAGCCATAGACCCAAGCCTTTGGGGGCAACTGAGGGTAAGATTCATTTTCCAACTAATTGGTGGTTTGGATTGGTGGTTTGGGGATTTGAACCGTTGCTTCTTGTAGAGGATATATGGGAAACCCCTCCGTTTCACCACCAAACCACCGGGATCCAAAGCACCGATTCTTTGACGGAAGCTGCAACTATGGGCGTCGAATCCTCGCTCAGGCCATCAAAGAGTTGACCAATATGGCCGCGCTCTTGGCTTTTGCGTTTAGGGGCCTCGTTGCCCGACCTTTCTTTCACCAGGTCATCCTTGCTCTCTCCTTCTCATCTTCGAGCTGCTTATTCGTCCTTCGATCCGGCCAAACAAAACACATGAGTGTGTTTTGCTCTTTGGGAGGGAAACCCAACGCGCTTCCATTGAACAGGGAACCCCTACAAAACATCAGGAGGGCAACCCACGTGGGAAAGAAAACTGCACCAAACACGAGGTCTTCAAACTGGTCAAGGTGTCCGGGATCAAGTCACCGTATTTCATGCCAATTGTTTTTGTCCATGGAGGAGTGGTACCAGGAGGCAACCCACACTTTTTTGGGAAAGCCAAACCTCTACTGCTATTGGGTTGGATCTTTAGACTTTAACTTTTTGGGGAATCAAGGGGGTTTCCATTAAACAAACAAACAGTTAAACTTTTTGCAGAGGGGTCGTTGCAGCCCCCAAGAAGCGAGCAAGGTCTTCAAACTGGTCATCGAGTCCAAGCCGCAGCGGGAGCAGATGAAGGCGGCCATCTCGGCCTTGAGCAAACGAGTCTCCGTCGTGGAAGAGCGCCTCGGCTTCAGTGGCCAGGGTGCCACTACTACTGCTACTGCTATACTACTACAACTGCTACTGCCACTACTACTTCTACTGCTACTGCTACTACTACAACTGCTACTGCCACTACTACTTCTACTGCTACTGCTACTGCTACAACTGCTACTGCCACTGCTACTTCTACTGCTACTGCTACTGCTACAACAGCTACTGCCACTACTACTTCTACTGCTACTGCTACTACTACTACTACTACGACGACTGCTGCTACTACTGCTGCTGCTACTACTACTACTGCTACTACTTTCACTCCTACCACTACTACTACCACAGCTACTACTGTCACACATACCCCGAATCATACCCGCGAGCCGTACCCCGCACTCAAACCTCCCTGCCCGGCCACTGTAAAAAGTCAATCCCATACAAATATAGAAACAGCTACATATATATATATATACACATATGTGCATGTTGTTCATTAACAGTCATTATCCATTCACTGACTCATTTACTCCTTCATTCACTCCTTCATCATTCGTTCATTCATTCATGCATGCATGCATGCATTCAGTCAATCGTTCATTCGTTCATTCATTCATTCATTCATTCATTCATTCATTCAGTCAACCCATCGGCCCATCGACCAATCAATCACTAAATCAATCAATCAATCAATCAATCAATCAATCAAGCAAGCAAGCAAGCAAGCAACCAATCAACCAATCAAGCAATCAAGCAATCATGTTGTTACTCAATTTAGTGTTGATTATGTGTTTAATTATTGCCTGTAATTTTATACGTCTTCATTTGCTTGTTTGTGTGGGCATGTAAATGCTGTGTATGCATCTATCAAGCAGCAAGTCTACCAATTTTCCAACCTGGATCTTCCAAATCATTGAATTTTCACGTAAATCCGGAGACTACCAGTTTGTTGAGGGTCTCAGTGAAAAAACACGGAGTTTTCAAACTCCTGGTTTTTGAGGTAAAACTCCTAGAAATTGATTGTCGCTTCTGGAAATGGTTTGCACACCTGAAACTTTTAGAAATCGCAGCTATTCGATACTTGACGAAAGGAACTCTCCAATTCAGACATATTCTGAATCAGAATCATTCACCTGAGTCAGAATCGTTCACCTGAAGCAGAATTATTCATTCAGAATTCTGAATTATGCTGAATTCGGAAATATTGCCTTTGGGCGACAAATTAGCAAAACCGGAAAGCATCACGCCTGAAACTCAGCGCAAAACACCCGCAAAAAGCCCGCAAACTCCCGCAAAAACCCGCAAACTCCCGCAAATCAAAAAAAGACGGAATTTCCGGAGTGTGCGTAGTAAAATCAGTGGAATACCCACTCCAGTGCAGAGTTGCATAATTGCTGGGATAGTGTACAGAGTTGCACAATTGCGCGCCCAAACAACGAAAAAGACAACAAAACTTGAATCCAATTGTTTCCCCCAAGAACCACTCCTAGCTTTTTTATGTTCACTCCCGCCTTTGCAAGCCACTCCTGCTTTTTGATTCCTGCATTTGAAACACCTGAAACTCCTAGTTTTCAGAGGGTCTCCTGGAAATATCCCGGAGAACGGAAAAACAGAGAAATAACCCGGAGACGGAGGACCTACGAATGTACATATCCGTCTATCAATCTGTCTATAAATCTATCTATCTATCTATCTATCTATCCGTCTATAAACATATTCGATTTTGTGTTGTGCTTGTGCTGTTCTTTGGATGTTGCAAACCTACCTTGTTCCACCCTCATGTGTATATATATATATATGTACATATACATGCAAACAAAATTGGCTGCTGCGTCACCATCATTATATATATATACACATGTGCGTTGCAGAATGCCTTTTTCATTCGGTGGTGGGCATACTTCTAAACTTAGTTCCACTTTCGGGAGATGGGCCACACCTAAGGAGCTTCACGACCCTGAAGAAGGAGATCGACATGAAGACGGGCCACAACTTGGGAGAGGAGTTTGAGTCCATCAAGAAGGACGCAGAGGGTCAATGCTTGGGACCAACCCTTAACCAAAATGATGAACAACACATGTATTCACCTCCCACGTTCATGATGATGATAGCTGGGATGATGATGTTTGTGCATGTTAATACTTACCACCGGAGGACCATAATTAAACATATATGTTGCTCGTTTGGGGGCAACACTGAGGTACAACATGAAATGGGCAACCCCGCAAGTGGTATTTTCTCAAGCACGCACCCGCAAGCACACAGCCGCAAGCACATATCAGGGGGCTGCGCCGGGGTCATTATTTTGACTCAAGAGTCACAACATGGCTGTTTCCTTTTGGCTCTTCGAGGGTGACTTTGGTAGAATCATGGGGCCAGTGAGAAAGAGCAAAGCAAAGGGAATGAAGTGGACGGATAAAGGATAGACAGATAAATGAAGTAAATCGATTTAACTTTGAATACTAAAAGTCTAGACTGATCATATTTCTTCTTGCTTTTGATATATTACTTCATTGACTAGTTACACGTTGAAATCATACAGGCTTAACAACTTGTTATTCACTCTCTGGCATGACATCCAACCCCTGAACCCCGGGTTCCGTCCCCTGATCTCGGGAAGGAGCTGGCGGACATGCACGCGGCGGCGCACCGGGACACCGACGCGCGGGGGAAGAAGCTCGCGGACTTGCACTCGGACATCGAGCACGTCTCCAGACTCGGACTACTGCTTTACTCTTTAAGATCCATCACCCCCAAACCATCCCCAGAAGTTGAATGGGATATACAACCACTATATGGCCACTATACAAAGGACACGGTTTGGCTGCTTCAGATCCTGGGGTCCCCGTACACCCCAAGTTGCTTAAAAAGGGTCTCAAAACAAGTGGTGGAGCTCTAACATCCAGGACCCTTAGGGCACCTTTTGTGTTTCGTTTTCAGTTGGTTTGTTTTATTTCAGGGGAAGCTCAATTGGAAACTCAGGCTTGTTCAGGAGATTTTATCATTTTTGCTGGGGGGCACTGGGCCAGGTGGACGTCAATTCCTATTAATTACCGGCTGTGAATGGGGGCCTTTCTTGCAAAAGAAGGGGACAACCGTGTCTGGCCAGAATGGCACACCCCCCCCTATGGCACGAATTCTCTAAAAGCCCCTCTAAAAGTGAGATTTCCTCACTAAACTAAGGGGTTTATTTGCAAGAAGTTCTCATCAATAGGGTGTCCCTTTTAGCGGGCTTTCGCATCATTTTTTCGCACTTTTTGCTCAGTCCACAAGTCTAGGTAGGGTTGATTCCAACCATTCCTTTCAACATGTTTGTTTTTAATAGATCCGTTTTCCCTGGTTTGCCAGAGGTTTGAGGGATCCCTGCAAAGAATTGTTGGAAGGTACCCCTACAAAAAAGAGCAAACCTTTTGACCGTTTGGCTTTTTTTACGCGAACCCATGTGTTTTTAAGTCAAGGTCCCAGAGGGTTCGCCATCTTTTCAGGTCCCTAAAGGGGGTGATTTTGAAATTTTGCTCTCTGGCATGGCGGGGGTCACGGCGCGACCAAAGCCCCTCGGACCTTTTGGAAACAACTTGGCTTTTTGTTCATTCACCGCGCAAAAAATGGGTAGATATGTGGTTTCTTCACTTTTTTCTGGTACTGGATGTTCATCCATTCCCTTTTTAAGCTGTCTTGAAAAGTGGCAGTTTCAATGGAACCCACTCGTATAGTGAGGACTTGTTGCTTTTGAGCGCTTCCCTTGCCATCCCTAGCTGGTGGGCTGCTGTCCTTTTGTGAAAAACCTGCATCTTGTCTTTGATTGATTGTCCCCTGAGTTCCTGAACATCATCCTTTGTGGGTTTGGGCCGAGTAAGTGGTAAACATATAGTTTGTTTATTTGTGGACCATCCACACTGGGAGTGAATGTCAACCCCTCATGAATAAGCCCACTTGTCATTGGCGTTAAGAGGGCACTTTTTTTTTGCGAGGTTCCTTTCTCACCAACTGAAGGTTTATTAATCAGTGGTTTACATTAGCTGTTTGCTTTGTGGGTTTGTCGTTTGCTTTTACTTTGTTTCGAGTAGGGTACTACAACCTTTTGCTTTCATTGTGAGACTCAGGGAAACCAAAAGGAAGTGCACTGATTTGGGAGGTCCCCTATTTCAAGACACACCCGTTTGTTCGCATGCAGCAAAGCAACTCATAGTTACCACTATTGTAGGTAACCAGGTATTTGTTTATCCCTAGTTTGTTTTTACATGATGGTTTCCCCTGCACTCTTATACTAGAAACTGGAAGCATTGGGAGACGATATGTTTGCCCTTTCGTGGGATCGGCTCCAGGTTCAGAAGACAGCAGCCACTGGGGGCGACATCAGCGCCTGGCCCAGGAACTTAGGAATTGGACCGGCTCAAGGGAGTTAAGACGGAGATGCTAGATTGCAACCATGCTGTGGATGGGCGAAATCTTGCACCACCCAACCCTGATGATTCCCCTGTACTTGACTGCTATTGGGTTGGATCTTTAGACATAAACTTTTTGGGAATAAAGGTGTTCTCCACTACACCCCCCAAAAGTTATTACTTTTTGCAGGGGGGTCGTTGCAACAACCAAGTGTTTATTTGCCAAAGAACCCACCGGGGGTCGGTGGTTTGAGAGTGGTGAGAAATGGATTTCGTCCATCCCCAGTTCTTAACCCAAAGGGAAATTCATTGACACGAGGAGATGGGTGGCTTTTCGATGTGGACGGATTGGCTCCCCGGGCCCCTTAAAAATGGAATTGGGGCAAGGGGATGACCTCTGGAATTCCGTTTATGGCAACCCTTTTTTTGGGGGGCGGGGGAAGACTCAAAAAACGGAATTGGTGAACCCAGAGCCCCCCCACCCTCCTCGGGGGATGTGTCCCCCCTTGAGTCGAAAAAGTGGGGCGATTGAAAGGTCCCCCAAATTTTCCAGCGCGATGCACTCAAAGGAGAAGCACCGAACTCCGGTTGCACAAAATCTAGGTCCCCGGGTCGTGCCCTTTTACCTTTTTTTTGGGGGGGCAGGGTTCCCCTACTAAAGTAGACTACAGACAAAAGTGGGTACCAACTTATTCTGACCTCTCTGGAGGACCTAGAAATTCATCCCGCGGCCCGAATCTCACTTCCCGAGCCCCTTTCGGACTTGAGTATTTGTTGGATTTTTGTTTCGACCCCAAGCCAATGTAATTCACGCTGCTTTCCCTTTTTGCTCCAGGCTGAGTCCATGCTTCTTGCAGATTGGGAGGTTCACGCTGCTTTCCCCTTTTGAACAGCGGGTTCAAAGATGTGGATGATGGGTGTGTGCTCCTTTGCGTGTGTGTGTGTGAGGCTGAGTCCATGCTTCTTGCAGATTGGGAGGTTTTAAACATGTTTGCTGAATTGGCAGGCTCGCCGGGTGAAACGCCCCATGACGATTCCTTGCATTTACTGCGGGTGTTGGACATACTCTTAGATCTATTGATTTGGTGTTGTTGTTTCTTTGTTGGCCAAAAGATACATTTTGGTGCTTGCCCGGATTTTGCAGATGCGAATATCCCCACAGCCAGGGTTGCTCGAAACGGCTCTTTCTCCCCGACGGAAAAAGTATTGGCCACCAGCTTTCACGCTGCTCTTATGGGTCTTTGAAGCGCTGGAAATTGACTTGACCAAATCGCAACTTTCAATCTGGTGGTCTTTAATTTGTTGTCCGCATTTGGTGGCAGGGGAGGGGAGGGGAGGGGAGGGAGGGGAGGAGGGGAGGAGGGGAGGGGAGGGGAGGGGAGGCAAGGGGAGGCAAGGGGAGGCAAGGGGAGGGGAGGGGAGGGCTGGAGCCAGAAGTGCGAACCTTGATAACCCCTTTTGAACCAGGGAAGCTGAAACCCTATCGGGATTGTTTCAAAGGGGAACGTGCGGATTGGGCCTCTGGAGCAAACAAGCAGCTTGGTTGCTTGTTTTTTGTCCGAGATTTTTCCACTCAAGTGACGAGGAGTCATATTTAGGGGGGATCTATGTCACTTTTGAAATCTTCTCCCAGCCATCCGGTTCCTCGGTTTGGGCTTCTCTTCAAGACTCTCCACAAAGGATGGCTAGGTCTCCCAGTAGTGCCCTTTTACCCCTTTTTGGGGGACAGGGTTCCCCTACTCAAATAGACAAAAAAAAAGTGGGTACCAACTTATTCTAACCTCTCTACTTCACCAGAACTAGCTCCCCTTTTTGCTTTTTTGCTTTTTTGGGGGTTCCCTTTGTTTTCTACAAACCAGGCCCAAAAAAAAACATTTTGTTGCTGGGGTCCTCTTCTTCCAGCCAAGTCTACTGGAGGACCTTGGGCTGCACCACCGGCTTTCGCTGGGCTTTCGCGAGGCGGAGACTTGGATTCCCTGAGCCGCTCCAACGAGCAAGTCCTGGACGAGCTCACCAGCCAGCACAAGAGGACCCAGAGAAAACCGGGGACGGACCAGGTCCCCAGTGCCCTGTTTTCCCCGTTTTTTTTTGGGGGGGAGGGTTTTGCTACTATAGACTCTATAGACTACAGAAAAAGAGTTGGTACCCTTCTAACCTCTCTACGGGAGGACCTAGGCACCGACAGAGTGTCCAGTGTTTCCGGGTCCCGGCCATCCGGCTCCTTGAAATTGGGTTCGGTTTTTTGGGGTCTGGATTGCCTTTTTTTTGGGGTTGGATCTTCAGACTCGAACCATTTTTTTTGAGAAACCGACAGTTTTCCATTGAACCCACCAAAAAGTTAAGCTTTTTCAGAGGGGTCCACAGCAACCAAGGGTTTAGTTGTAGTTTCCATTCACCCACTAAAAGTTATAGTATAGTGACTCTTAGCAGGGGGTCTGAGGACATCCCCGGTATGTTTGGGTCAAGTTGCGGTATCGGAGATGCAAGTCTAAGGATTTGTTTATTACACCCTGGGATCACACCCTAGGGAAACTACCCAAAACAAACTCCAAATACACCAAAAAAAACATGATGTTTTATTTGGACACAGCCTAGAATAGCGTGATTTTTCAGCGGGCGTAATCCCAGGGTGTAGGAAAGCCAACTTGGAGCTTGGGTGCCCCTGAGTCCAGGATGTTCGGCGTCTCCATTTTCGCCATTGCCTTCATCATCATCGCCGGCTTGTCACTCTACAACAAGCCCCTTGGTAAGGCTTTACTCAGTTGTGACCTTGAGTTTTCCAATTTTGGTCCATTTTCAGTAAAGGTCCCAAAAGGTGATCACCTTTATTTCCAGGTCCTTTGGGCAAGTGAGTTTATGGGAGTCCAGGAAAAAGGGTCTGATGGGCTTCCCGGTTGGGAGGTTTCGCTCGAGCAAACTCGATGGACAAGTTCTACTTGAACCCGGGCAAGGACCTCCATCTATTGGGATGACTTCTGACCCCTCTGAACAGGGGAAACAACATGTCCCGCGATTTTCGGGGTCAACAGGCAGACACGGTTAATGCCTCAGTCCAAGTTTTGACCAGGAAACAATATCACCCGACCTTTTCGATGCAAGTCCCCTACCCGCACTAATTTGTTTTGTTTTGCTTAGCTCCTCTCGCTTCGCTTGCTTCGCTTGCTTGCTTTGTTGCTTGGCTGGTTGCTTGGTATAGCCATTGCGGCCCTTGGTTGCGCCCACCCGCGCTACTGAGCGCCACTTAGGTTCCGGTGTTGGGAGAAGAAGCACGTCCTCTGAGCTGTGCACATCGCACGCCCCGCCCGTAGAAAAAAAACAGAAAAGAACACACACACACACACACACACACACGCCGGCACCTCTCTCTCTCTTCCGTGGCAAGCCCGAGAGGGCTCCATTTATGGTGTCCGCCCGCGGTTGATACTGTGGATGGACGAAATCCATTTCGCACCACCTAAGAAACCGTGGAAATGTTAATTCCCCTGTAAATACCAACGGACAATGGTGTCTCATGGTTTCTTAGGTGGTGCAGGAATTCGTCCATGCACAGTATGAAGTTCAGCTTGTCTTGAGGAATGTTTTTGTTCTATCTGCCTGGCCCGCATTGCCGGAGATCGGCAAGTGCAATACCCTTAGCGCAGTTGGCCAACGGATATGTGCCTGGCGGGATTCTTCAGTTTTAGTCGGGGGAAACAAGTTAGCTCACTTTTGGCTTGCTCACTCTGCAGGGTCACCATCCCTAAAAAAATGGAATGGGCGGAGGCGGGTGACCCCTAATTTTTTGTTTATGGTTTCTTTTTCCCTCCTGTGAGGAATGCTAGACAAATGGATTGGGGACCCCGCCCTCAAGGTAGGGTGGATGGGTCGGAAGCTAGGCACGTTGGGAGCCGAGCTTCGGATTGGTTGTATCACTCACGACCGCGTCGAACTCACGGCAAAGTGGGTTCTCCAAGCCTGCGCTAGGCTTGGAGGCTTAGAAACGATTTCGCGCGTTGCGCGAGCGCAAAAAGAGGACAGAGGCTGGAGGCCGAGTTTGTAGCATGGGATGATACCCTCACTTGCCCCAAGCTGACCTGCTGACCAATTTTGGGTTTCCATGTTGGTCTATTTTACCTGGATCGCCAGTTGCTGCTTGTTTTCCCATGCACTCTACCCCAAAAACAGTCAACACAGACTGAACAAAAAACAGCAAATGGCTATCCAGGTAGATCCTTTGGGCAACTGAGGAAATCCCGTTTTGTTGTGAACCGACCCGTTCCGCAGTTGCCGTGGCACCCTGGAAACACCTCTGAATCGCCCGGGGGTTCGTCCATTTCGTCCATGTCCCTTGTTGGAACCTGCAAAGGTGGCGATCGTTTCACTGAAAACTCCTCATTTTTTTTTACAAAGTGGAGGGGGCACCTGCACAAGCCACAACTTACAAATTGCATGTGTTGGAATGTAGATTCCAACTCTTGAAGAGGACAATCAGTGACACCTGTCCCTTTCTTGTTTCATGGGTTGCCCATTTAAAGTAGTGTGCCAACCTTGGGTTCGCCTCGTCTAGCGTCTCAAGAATGGATTCGAATCCCTCACTCGAGTGAGTATGCAGCTGGTTTGAATCCGCAAGCCTTTTGGGGCAGATGTTGCATGCAGGTTGGTGCAGAATGAAGATGCTGGGGCCCTTTTGGCTGCTTTCCTTTCCAGGAAAGTCACAAAGCATGTTGAGGGGACCCGTTGATGGCTGTCAAATGGTTGGTGACATCCTTCGGGCTACGTTGTGGCCATTTGACCGCGTTCCTGGACTTTAGTCACTTTTGGGGGTTTGGACCATTTGAGTGGCAAGGTCTCCCCAGTAGTGGCCTTTTACCCTTTTTTTGGGGGAGGGTTCCCCTACTAAAATAGACTACAAAAAAAGGGGTACCCTTATTCTAACCTCTTACTGCAGAACCTAGGTGGTAAGCAAAACGCACTCTGAGGTGCGAAACCACGGCGGTTTTGGAATCCCAAAAGGGGGGTAGGTGCAAGGGGAGTGGGTAGAGCTCTAGGGAGTTTTGAGAGACCGCCCCATGGACCTTGGGCAAAGGTTCCGATCCCTTTAAAACCAACCAGCCAACAGGGGATGCCGATTCCGATTCTTTTTATCCACTGAATGCATCTGAGTCAGGCGTCCTTAGGGAGCCTTAGAACCCCCCCCCACTTGGACCACCACCCCCCCCTGAGGCATTCCCGAAGTTGGAACCTTAAGACGTTAGAGCACTCAAGGCCTGAGAACCGCTCATTAAACATCTCAAGATGAAGGAGCTGAGAGCTGCGGTCATACTCAAGGTCGCTGTATTGAATGTGTGAGTTGAATTTCACGGGATAAGCAAATCCCCCTTTGAACCCAACCCCGCCTTGGGGATTCAGTTTTTCCCCCGAAAACGAGTCGAAGCAGCCAGGCCGCAGCTCGTGTCGCCACCTCCCGCGCGGCTGCGGCCACTGGGCAAGACACACTCGAGACGAGTGTTCACGAGCGGGTTGGGCCAAGGAGCTGAGAATTCCCGAATTGGCCCAGGACCTCCTTAAAAGATACAGTTTGCCCAGTTGAAGCATGGCTTTTTCCACCAAAATACAGGGAAACCACCATTTACAAGGCAATGTTCAGGTGTATACTGTAAGGATCCCTGAAGCCTGGAGGGAGCTAGCTTCATAAGGGCCGTGGGGTTTCTTTTTGTCGCGCCCCAAAAGACAGTCCGATTCGATTTTGCTTTGGACCCTCACAACAATTGTTCAGGGTGTCTGGGACAAGTTGAGACAAGTTGAGACAAGTTGAGACAAGTTGAGACAAGTTGAGACAAGTTGTTGTTCAGTCCCCCTAAGCATCTAATGGGTTAGGTTTGAGTTCTCCATGGGAGGGCCCAGGGTTCTGCATATGAGCACACACCATTCTGCCGTGATCATTTGTCGAATCCTGGTTTAGCAGCTACTACCCCGACGGGTGGTACAAGAGCCTGGATATTTAGAACATGCATTTGCACATGATTATGCCATTTACCATGAAGTTTTTTTTTTTTTTTTACCCACCATCTAACAGTTTCCCACAACCCCCATTGTGATTTGTCAGCTTTGATACTAAGCTGGGGCCGCCTTATTGCAACCATGGGTCTTCAATCTTGGGAGTTAATGGTTCAAATTGCAGATGGGTTTGTTCAGGGTCCCTAAGACCTACATTTGGGCCAAACATCACTTAGCCAACTGGTTAAGAGGGCCCCTGTACAGACGTTTTTGTTCCCAGTTGCTTAGAGAACCTTGAAATCCGTGTTTTGTTCGGTGGATTTGGGACCTTCTATGAACAGCACGGGGGGGGGGGGGACATTTACGCAACATTATATGGTTGTATCACCCTACTTTACGGGGGTCATGGAGACTCCAGCAGCTCAAGATTTGTTTTGCGTATTGGGGGTTGCCTCTAATACATGGGTTCCCATTGTCCCAGTAAGATGCCACCCACTGACGTGGACTAAGGCCGCTCTTCAGGGACGTAGGCCGACTCACCCAAAAGGGGGTCCTCCAAAAGGATTTCGCGAAACACATGACGGTTGTTTCGGTTGTATCGGTTGCATGGGACCCCAACGGAGGGGTCCTCCAAAAGGAGGATTCCACCAATATGATGGATTGGGTCATATGGGCTATATGGGTCTGTCCTTTTTTGGAGTTTTGTGTTTTGTTAGTTTTGAAAAGGGAAGCCGAATTGAACATCGAAATCCATTTTTTCGGGGTGACCTCCGAAAAAGGCACACCCCCTAACCCATACATCCATGCTTACTGAGGAAAAAACTCTTCGACCAATCGAGTGGATTGGCCAAGAATAGAGAACAAACTTGTCGCCACCAAAACGGCCCAAACCCAACCAAAAGGGGGCCAACCAACACTTGCGCCGCCAAATGTTGACACACACACACACACACGCACACATGGAACCTGCAAAAGGCCACCTGGAGTGCTTTTGGGAAGCCCGAGGAGCCTGAATTGGCCACCTGTTCGAGTGCTTTTGGGAGGGTCAAGCCGTGCTTTTGCGAGAAGCCCCGTCCGCGCGCCACGCGAGACTCGTCGAAGCCTAGGCGGCGGCGGTAGCGGCGGCCCAAGCGGTGCAAGCGGAGTTCCGGGCCGCGGTGCCGGAGGCGCGCGTCGTGGGGTGGGTGGGGAGGGGAGGGGCGGGTGGGTGGGTGGGTGAGGGGGGGGAGGGGTGGAGAGGGTGAGGGGGAGAGGGGGTGAGGGGTGGGGAGGAGGGCAGAGGTGTGATTGCAGGGGTGTCGAGCTCAGTTGCCCAAAGCGAAGCGACCGTTGGACCTTTTGGTTCCTCATGTTGGCACCCATTTTTAGTCGAGGTCCCAAAAGGTGAATCACCTTTTGCTTCTGGGTCCTGGGCAAGTGAGTTAGGGGTTTGTTTTTTTGTTTGTTTGTTGTTTTTTTAGTTTTCAAGGTGGGAATGCAACACATCTCTGTTTAGGAAGTGTCCGCTGCACGCGGGGGGGGGGGGGGGGCGGGCGGTTGGGATCCTGATTGGATTCTCATGCCACATGGACATTGCACTGGCGTCATAGGTTATGGATTGGAATAAAACATCCTTGTTCAACAACTCATGTTCTTCAGTGGCACCATTGTCCCTTTGTGTTTGGGGGCGTTCCATGTCTTTGCTGTTGTTGGCAAGTGTTTATGTGTGTTTGGTTCTCTTCATTTTTAGTAGGGGGCTGCACAAAACATGTGTTTTGCTACTATACTAGGGTCGGAAAGGCCCCTAAAGTGCAAAGAACCCTGACAACAGGTAATGGTTCCATTCTTCTACCAGGGTCGCCTGGATGACTAAGCAGGGCTAGGGTCGAACAAGCGAACAACCGCTGCGCCGCCGGCTCCCCGGGTTCCGCGGTGTTCGGGGGCCTCCCGTTTCAGTTTCGCGCGCTTTGCGCGCTTGCCGGCCGACGGCCCAGAACGGCAACGGGAGAGCCCGAACAAGGCTCGAGAGCGTAGTTAGGGGGCTCTAGGTGTTTGTCAGATTTTGCACAGGGTTTATCTGGAACTCAATCCGCCAAACCACCGGGCTTCAAACCACCAAGTGTTTCAACACGCCTGAAATTCCATGATGCTGCATTGCTTTGGGATAACCGAAGCCCGAGCGGTTTCGAGACGCATCAGCCATGGCCTTCACGGGGTAAGCCTTTTTCTTTCTTTGTGGTCCTTAAGTTTCACGTGGGATTCAACAGGGCTCACTCCATTTCCCTTACGGGAAATCAAATTCCCCTGTTCAATACCCCCCTATG